AAAATACATCCGTCATAAACGAAACCGGAAACAGACGTAGGCAAGATCCTCAGCTCGATGATTGGATGGTTTAGCCGCAATGCATGCTGGGATTTGGTGTTTATGTGATGTGAAATCTGAAAACGTTTTTTAAAAATAAAATAATACTTTATTCCGAGTGTGCTTGCTTTTGTCTTTGAAAGTCATCACATAACGGCATTGTAATACACGGTTCGGCTGCATTAAGTATTACATATCTGCCCTAATTCTCTATTTATAGAGCCCTGCTGAGAAGACTTCTAGACAAACAGGAGAACTGCCGCCAAAACTGAAAACGTGACATGGATCATAAATATATAAGCAATTACACAACATCTTACATTTCTTTTCACACAATACGTCTCCTCGCAGTATCAACACTAATTCGGCTGACTTTTATATTTGATCCAATAGGTAGATAGGCTGTATTTACACCATAACGGTGCAGAGCTGATAGAAAGGGACACCTGGTGGTTGAAGAACGTTATTGAATTTTATTATTTTATTATACATCCGTGGAGGCAACCCATGCGCAGCTTATTTCTGGGTAAATACGTCATCCCTGCATCACTCTATTAGCATTAGCCCAAGCAGTCTCTAGTGGGGAAAAAAACATACTAACAAGCTCCTTTAGGAATGACAAATTGCCTTATTGTTGTCTCTGTTTCAAATTTAGCTGGTGCCAACAAACTGCTCAACTGTGGTTTATACCCAAGCAGTGAGAGGAAACAGTTCCCCTTTATCAGGAAATTGTTGCATGTAAGCTTTGAGATTAAATGCAAACCAACGTTTAAGTTAAACAAAATGTTCTTAGAAGCAGAGGTGCTCCAAGGACTGAAAAAAACCAAAGTCACTTTTCCAAGTTTGTTTTAGTTGCTAACTTTCACTTCTGCAGAAGGTAGCGTTTACAGTCTTGCTTACAGGCAACACTCTTTTTTTTAGCTAGATAAGCTATAAAGCAAGATTGCATTTTTCCGGAATACTACATTCACTGAGCCTGGAAAACGTACTTGATGTTTAACTCTTCCAAAAGACATCTGCTGCTCTGCTTCAAAGACATGTTTGAGTAACAAAACCTCAATCTTCAGATTGTTAAGCTATAAAGTTCTGGTAATAAATCAATCATGTTAGTATCAGGGAATAACAAGGGCAATAAACAAACATGACAAAAGCTGAAACTATTTAGGTGAAATGTTTATTAACGGACTAGGAATGGAATGAAGTTAACATAGCAGCATCAAAGCCAAGATGAGAAATTGGCCTCACTATGAAGCATGCTCCCCATGATGAGCTTTTGGGTAATGTTTTTGGAAGCTGCAAGCAAACTTTGTTGTTCACTCCATCCGTGAGTTTTATTGGCAGATGTTCAGGACATGCTGAGTTAGCCAGCCAACCAGAACACAAAGTTACGATTGGGGATGAGAAGCTGTGTTATTATATCAACTTATTGCTATCATAGTTTTTGTACTCGCCTTAGTGGGGACACTTGACACATGATGTATATCCAGGGGTCAAATATCTGATTGCAGGTGGCCATTCGTATGAAGAACAAAACATTTTCATCTCTTTCAGGATCTGCAGTCATCTCAGTAGTCACCTGATTCACGTACCTCAGAATATATATCTGTGCAGGGTGTCACACAACTGAGGTAAGACAGGACTGAAGAACAATATGTGCTCCAGTCAGGTAACTTTAGCCTTTTTGTTGCTTACTCTGTTGGGCTAAATTTAAAATCTATTTTTTTTAATAAAGTTATGAATTGACAACTTTTAGGTGTTGTAGATGGTTATTTACACTGGTCTGAAAGCAACACATAGGCACATAGATATAATTTTAAGCACAGATTATTACCATATGATATTTTGACCTTATGTTGAGCAGTAATCAAAGGGCACTCCATACACCTCTGTCATTTATTTTGTATCAAAGCCCAACACAAGTCAGTGCTTCCCCTACCATTGTCTTGGAGGGGCGCTGCGCCCCGCCAACGGAGCCCCGCCAACGGAGCCCCGCCAACGGAGCCCCGTGCCCCCCCTGAAATTCAAGGTGTTTAAAAATAAATAAATATTATAATCTTTTTTTAAATTAATTTTTCTTTTTTATATATATATATAGCACCAAATTGCAACTAATCTATATCTACTGTCACTTTTCACATTGAACATGTGCTCTTTTATTAAATAAATTAAATGCTTTCATTTTAAGTTGTGAGTTTAGAGTTTTTGACCCTAAGAAACACTGATGCA